CTAGATATTTGTTATGTGTTAAACTGGACATTAAGACATCGATAGTGTGATACATTTTACACTAGATATTTGTTATGTGTTAAACTGGACATTAAGACATCGATAGTGTGATACATTTTACACTAGATATTACTTATGTGTTAAACTGGACATTAAAATACCGGAATTGCATATCGTATTAAAGCTGACAAGTTGGAAAACTTTAAAACTCTCACTATTCTTTGTGTTATTCAGGAGGAGAGGAAGAAGTTGGAGGAGAAAGAGAGGAAGAAGGCAGAGGTGCGGAAGCGCCTTGAGGATGCTGCTCAAGCCAAGAAGGGAAAGAAAGGCTTCATGACACCAGAGCGTAAGAAGAAGCTTAGGGTTAGTCTCAAGCTCTTCTGAAAGATGCTTTGATTTCCTAAAATAAGAAAAGAACAGTTAATAAAGAATGACTTACCATAGGCGTTAAAAATTAATAGATGTCAACATTTTTCAAGTAAATATGCATTATTACCACCACAAGAAAGCAGTAAGGTATTTTTGTTCATTTTAGGCGTATATTTGCACAATGGATAATGTGTGCAGTGTCCATCGCAAGTAGCAACCACAAAATGTTAGCGTTATGAGCTTCAAGCTTATTGTTGACCACCTAGGGGCATCATTTTTTTTACCTACCAAACTTGTTTTTTATTTACGTGTAATCCAGGAAAATTTTATCCAAACCTCGTTATGAAACCATGACTTAATTAAGAGCGTTTAAATATTCAGTAATGGCTGAAGCCTAACTTAAGAACTGTGTTGATTTCTAGAGAAAAACTAGTAAAAAGGATACTTAGATATGATATACGTTAAATTTTGGGTGTTTTTTTTTCGATACTATAAAGCGCTTGGATGTTGTGTTTGTTTTGTAGCAACTTCTGAGGAAAAAAGCCGCTGAAGAACTGAAGAAGGAACAAGAGAGGAAAGCAGAGGAAAGAAAGAAGATAATTCTTCAAAGAACAGGAGAAGCTAAACCACTAGATGGCGCTAACGAAGGTAACTCCGAAAAGTCGTCCAGTTAATAGAACAGTGTGTGTTGAGTAGCTATACATTTTAAAACCAGGTGGTTAGATCCCGTGACGCCAGATGGCGGAACGTTCAATAGTATAAACTTGTGCTGTGTCAGACAAATGAGGAATCTACTTTGTTGAATCTTAATTTTGAATATGTGGTATTCATCGGGTCTGGTTCTGCGATCGGAAAGCATTATAATTCCAGTTAACTTCCTATCGCAAATCATTACCAATTCCAGTTAACTTCCTATCGCAAATCATTACACTTCCAGTTAACTTCCTATCGCAAACCATTACACTTCCAGTGAACTTCCTATCGCAAACCATTACACTTCCAGTTAACTTCCTATCGCAAACCATTACACTTCCAGTTAACTTCCTATCGCAAACCATTACACTTCCAATTAACTTCCTATCGCAAACCATTACACTTCCAATTAACTTCCTATCGCAAACCATTACACTTCCAATTAACTTCCTATCGCAAACCATTACACTTCCAGTCAACTTCCTATCGCAAACCATTACACTTCCAGTCAACTTTCTACCGCAAAGCATTAAACTTCCAGTCAACTTTCTACCGCAAAGCATTACACTTCCAGTCAACTTTCTACCGCAAAGCATTACACTTCCAGTCAACTTTCTACCGCAAAGCATTACACTTCCAGTCAACTTTCTACCGCAAAGCA